ACAGGTAATAAACATTAGAAAGGCAGAGCACTTGCTCCAGCCACAGGCAAACTACTCACAAGTTGCATGTGGTTATTTTCCCATATCATACGTAACAGAAAAAGAACACAGCCATGGTCACAAAAATTGCTTCAGACAATAGTGATCCAGATGTACCCTGAGAGCACAACTATGCTCAATAAATTAACTAAATAGACGTAAAATTCAGATAATACATTTGTTAAATGCAATTGCTAAAATAATTCAAAAATTAAATTTAAAGGTAGTTAAGATGTGATCATTTCAGGTAAAATTGTATAATAAATAATGCTACTCATCAAAGATTACCAAAAATTCCTAACATGTTTAATCATGAGAAATTTATTCTTCATTTTTAAAAGTCAAGGTCATAATTTTACCTGTCTTAAGATCAGTTTTCTAAAGGAGGAGGTGGCACAGGAATGCGGCTGAGTTCAAGCGTGGAATTCATTTGTTGAGAGTTAAATATTTTCCAACTCTATAAAAAATAAAAAATTAAAATAGTAAGAATATTTTCAAGAACATTACAGAAATGTTTTAAATGACACACTCATAAAACAGTTTACTTTTGTGTGTCTGCAGAGCTGATGATGCACATGTGCACATGTGTGAGGCTGCGTGTACCTGCACATGACCATGTGGAAGACACCGAGTCTCTGCCTTGATTGCTCCCACCTTATCCGCTCCACACAGCACTGAGTATGGAACTCTCCCCCTTCTAGGCTGGGCTGGAGGTCAGCCAGCCCCGGAGGCCCGCCTGCCAACAGATCAGCATGAGACACATCGTTCCCCATCAGCTCTGAGATCACAACACAGGCAGAAATACCTGGCTTTTTACAACGAGTTCAGGTCCTTGACATTTGTGCAGTAAGAACGTTTACTAGCTCACTGTAGCTCACCTGATCCTAAAACATCCTGCAATAACTACCATACACGTACACCTTTATCATATCCAAGAAAAAGGTATTTTTGAGACAAAAAGTCTCAAATTTTAGCATCAAATATTCCATTAATTATCTTTAAGATGTTTGGTAGGTTATTTAAATTGCTGGAGATTCACCTCAAGAGAAATCTAAAATTCTTACAGAAATACTGACTCCACCCAGACTCACCATGGCATGCACCTACCCACTCATCCCCACTCCCAAACTAAATAAATAACAAACAGGAAACAGAGTCTACAGCCATGTTAACTGGCTTATAACGAAGATAATACTGCAATGCAATTGGAAAAGAAGAGTCTTAAAAAGATGTTAGGTGACTAGGGGATCTCTACCGAAAACAATGTACCGTGACCCTTAACCCCACACTATTCACAAAAGTAAATCCCAGGGATCAGCAAGATGATTCGCTGGGTTAGGGCACCTGCTGCCGAGTCTGAGGACGAGTTTGGTCCTGGGAATCCTCCTGGTGGAAGGAGAGGACGGACTCTGCACGCGTCTATGTGCGCATCATCTCCCCCACTCCTGCCTCTAACTAAACGTTTGAAAAGAAGAAAATTCCAAGTGGAATACAGAGCTAAGTGTTGGTGGGGGGGGGGGTTGTACATCAAAACATCTGTGTACATAACCAAATGTAACGTCTACCCTTCCCTTCCTCTTTTTGTGTTCTTGAGACAGGATCTCTTTGCACCTGCAATCTTTCTGGCCTCCGCTTCCCAAGTGCTGAGATCTGCCCCATCATGCACGACTTAGGAAACACTTTCCAAACAAACAAGAAGCACCAATGATGGCAACTGAACTGCGTTAAATCTGCCAACAAAAACAAACTCAGTGTGCTGAGTCAATTTTTCCGCGATGGCAGGATTAATATTCTGAAAATATTTATGCTACTTAATTTGTAGAACCAATGAAGATATCTACCAAAATTTCTGTGTCATATTTCACAGGTTTAGAGAAAATACAAGAATTCCTAGAGAACCATGAACATTACTAGGAGTATTATAAAACACGCCTCAAATTATACTACAGCACTGTAGTAATGAAGAAAGCCTGGGACTGGCAGATTAGACGGGCAGACCTGGAAATAGACGACAAAGCCAAACCAAGTCCATTTTCTGACAAAGGACAAAAACAAACTCTGGAAAAGGAACCTGCTCAACAAATGGTGCTGGTGAAATTGGGTTTCTACAGAAGATGAAATTAGACTTGTATCTTTCATCTTGTACAAAAAAAAATCAACTCAAAATGGATCAAAGATCTTAAGACCAGAAACACTGAAAACTTCTGAAGAAAACATGGCATACCCTCTAAGAAACTGGGTTACCTAAATAGAACACTAGACACAGATACAGCACAGGGTCTATCCCCAGATGGGACTCGATGAACACAGACAGCCCACACCATGGGAGAAAATCGTTTCTCAGTGTAACAGTCTTAGCTGTCCTGGAATTCGCTTTGTAGACCTTGAACTCACAGAGATCTTCCTGCCTCTGCCTCCCAAGCACTAGGATTAAAGGCATGCGCCACCACCACCTGGCTGGAAGAAAATCTTTACCAGCCACATTTCAGACAGGGGACTGATAACCAGAACTTAGAAAGAATTGTAGAGATTGAATACTATGGAAATAAAATTATCAGTCAACAAAGGGGCAAGTTAACTGAATAGATAGTTTTGGGCTTTTTGTTTGTTTGTTTTGAGAAAACACAAATGACCAATAACCATTTTTAAAGAGTATTCAATATCCCCTGCCATTAGGAAAATGCAAATAAAAACCACTCTGAGATACTAACTTAACAGCCAGAATAGCTGTCATCAATGAATTTAACAACACTTACTGTCAGTGGGGTACAAATTAACACAGCCATTGTGGAGGTCAGTTTGCATATTTCTCAAAAAATTAGACAAAGAACGGCTATCTGTTTTACTCCTGGCATTACCCAGAGAATGGCATGCCCTCCCAGCGGGACACTCGCACCTCCAAGTGTACTGCTGGTTCATTCACTACAGCAGACTAAGAATCGGCCTATTTACCCATCTACAGATGGATAGATCATGGAAATCTGAGGAAAATATATGAGTACTATTCAGTTTGAAGGAAAAATGAAAGTTTACAATTTTGCAGAATAACGAATGGCTTAGAACATATAATGTTAAACAAGACCACACAATCATAGAGAGAAAAAAAACTTGCATGTTCTTTCTTAAATGAGGAAACCAATAATATATTTACATGTGTAAACAAAGCACAAGTGGGTACAATCAACATAGAGGAAAGACAACAAGAAAGCCACACATCAGAGAATGAGGAAGGACTGATACGGGTAATTCAGCTGTGAAAGAGGATATAAAGCCAGTTCTTTTTTCTAGTTCTAATTCTGTCATGAATTTTTTTGATTGTGGATAAGTACACAAAATATAGTCAATTCTGAAAGTTTATAATGTGAAGCTCCACAGCTTCCATTCAAACGTCTGTTATAACTATAATTGCAGTTTACTGAGTTAAATAGACTTTGGGTCTCCTTAATTTTAGTGTATATTGTTCTTTTATTTGCAAATTTTTATTATAGTGCTTATTTTAAAAGACAGTCTATAAAATAATAATAAGATGGCTTCTGGAGAGATGGCTCAGCGGTTAAGAGCACTGACTGCTCTTCCAGAGGTCCTGAGTTCAATTTCCAGCAATCACAAGGTGGCTCACAACCGTCTGTACTGGGATTGGATGCCTCTTCTGACATAAAGGTATACATGCAGATAGAGCACTCATATACATAGAATAAATAAATAAATCTTTAAACACTGACCTCTGGCATCTACACACATGCTCATATGTGTACACATACACACAGAGGGAAGAAAAGAAAACAGAAAGTGCAGGAAACGACCTTCCCTTTGTCAATGAGACGGTGATAGGCAAAAGCCTGCCTTCTTCCCTGAACTTCTGTCTGGCAGGGTCTCACCACATAACCCTGGGAGGCTGGAAACACACCATGCCGACCAGACTGGCCTCCATCTCATCTGTCTCCCTCTGCCTCTCCAGTGCTGGGATCAAAGGTGTGTGCCAAAAAAAAAATGGCTATATATATATATATATATATATATATATATATATATATATACACACATATATACATATATATACTCGTTCTCCTTTCTAGAAACAGCTCCTTGCCTAGCTTTTGTACCCTGGAAGAAAGTATTCATAGTGACCACAGAACCTACCTCATCTTCTAGAACCGAGCGGTGTGATCCACTAAGTCCCAGGCTGAAGTGACAGCAGTATCCCATTAATAATGAAGTGACAGACACACATTAGCTCTTTTCCCCTCTTCACTGTGCAAGAGAGGATCTCCATTTCTCTATCTTCTAGTTAGACATGATTTAATGACTTTTTAAAAATTTTTTAGAGACAGACTTTCTCTGTGTAGTTTTGGAGATTGTCCTGGAACTCACTCTGTAGACCAGGCTGGCCTCAAACTCAGAGATGCATCTGCCTCTGCCTCCCAAGTGCTGGGATTAAAGACATGCACCACCAACAACTGGCTTAATGACTTCTTTGAATCAAAAAGTAAAAACAACCTCCACAGACGGTTTCACGACAGAAAGCAGTGTCCAGCATTCCCGCTCCCTGCTGTGACATCCCTGATAACAAAGTCCGAGGGATGGTCTGCCGACCACCATGTGAAGACAGCTCGCTATATCACCCAAATTTGTAAGGTCATAGAGACTTTACAAGGCAATAAATACAACTTTTTCTTTAAAGGACAAACAGAGCCCAGCTATTATCTGAAGATTGGCTGTAACTGCTGTGGCCACAGTACTGCTAACTTTGACTGGCAGATTATACAACGAGATTGCAGCAGGCCACAAAAGCCAAGTAAGAAGAAGAATGGTTCTAGATCGAGGGCTTTTACTCCTACAAAATGTCACCTCCACCTTATAAAATTGTAAAATTTATAAAATTTATATAACCTTGTAAAATTCCCTACAACACAAAGAAAAGAAAAAACTGATTTTGGTTTACATGTGGTTTCATATAATAAGCTGGCATTTCTACAACCAAGAAGCATCCCGCTAGGAGAAGGGAAGGGGAATACCTCAGTAGGCTCAAATTTACAGGATGTATAAAGATATAAAAAGAACTAAGAAGAGAGGTGACCAGATATGGGTATAATGGCTTGGTTTTTTGAATTAGTGCTTGTTCACTAGACTTATGAACAAATGGCCCTGTTAGCAGGGATTGAGATACAAAAATAAACACCGAGTTCCAATCCTTCTTTCCTTCCTTCTTTCCTTCCTTCCTTCCTCCCTCTCTACCTTCCCTCCCTCTTTCTGGAAACAGGTCTCGTTAGGCAGGCCAGACTGGCACTGAACTTGTAATCAATCCTCTGGCCCGACTGCGGGAACGGCAGGCATGCACCCCACATGCAGCCTAAGCAGCCTGACTGCAGGAATGACAGTCACGCACCCCACATTCAGCACTCCCTCATCCATGTTGATCAGCACGTCCATGAGAACCCAGGCTGTCTCACTTCTCCAAGCATTACTGTCTCAGCTACTCTCCTCTTGGATATACCCTGAACTGTGTGCTAACTGTCCAGTTCTTAACTCTCACACACTTTTCCCTCCGTTGACGCAGCCTTCCCCTCCCATCTCAACAGGCTGTCAAAAAGAACCAAGTTCTAAGTCTTTTATTAGTCTATAACTAGGACTTACAAACTCACTAGATTATGAATGTACATGGGGGCACAAAGATTTCTGTGATCTGGATACTAATAGAAATTACAGCCATATTCATTATCAAGTTAACAATTATTAGAGACATTAAAATATTGTTTATATTCATTACTGTTTATGATGTATTTGTGGCCCACCCTGAATAAAAATATCTCTTATCTCATTTACCCATGTATTTAGATAAACATTACCCGGGGAGTTATTTGAGGATACTATGGATGACAATCAACTATCTGCAGACCGAGACACAGATTCCCTTTACCGGGGGTCACACAAGCAGCTGAAGGCCCAAACAATATTTTTTTCGAAACAGGGTTTCTCTGTGTAGCCGTGGCTGTGGACCAGGCTATCCTGGAACTCAGAGATCCACTTGCCTCTGCCTTCCGAGTCCTGGAATTAAAGGTGTGCGCCACCACACCTGGCTAGGTGGAGGTTATTTATTGATTTTAGCAATCAAAATACAATTCCCAACTAGTAAGGAAGAAAGTGACTTTAGCAACAAATCTGTGCTTCTCCAGCCACTTTAGAGGTCCCTCAACATAATGCAGACAAGGCATCAGACATCTCTGCTGTGTTTAAGGGGCAAGCAAGGAGGGAGCAAGGCTGACTGAAGAGTCTCAGCTCGCTCAGGGCACACCATAGCCACAACTCAGCTGCATGGGGAAGGCGTCCAGGACACCGACGACCACTACACTACAGTACTGCAGTCTCTTGCCAACACCACAGGTTATAGTGCAGAAAAGTAACAAAACTGTTACCAGAAAAACAAAACTGCAAGAAAATCAGAATTAGGAAAATAAAACATTTTATTGAAAAGAAGATGTTCAAAAGTTGCACTAATTCTTCTTGAAAAGGAGAGAAATTGACTCAGAGTTATAGAAGTTAAGGCTGATTCTCATTATCTCATTTTTAAAATTCATAAAAATTTTGAGCAAATCCTTCATGGTTTCCACTCAATGTCTTTTGCACTGCATCTTAAACCATTTCTACAATGATCTATTTGTGTGTGTTATGTGTATGGGGCACACATGCCACCGTGTATGTGTGGAGACACGGGAACAACTTTCAGGAGCTGGCTCTCTCCATTCACGCGGATGTGGGTTTTGGGGCCTGAGCTCAGATCAACAGGCTTGGAGGTGAAAGCCCTTATGCACTGAGCCACTGTGCCAGCCCAACGGCTTTAAATTTTATTTGATGTCTTAGCAAAGCTCGGGGATAATGTCATTTATGGATTTGTCTTTTGTTCACACTGTTCACACTGGTCTAGGGCCTTGCAGCTCACACTAATGCTCCACTACCAAACTACATCCCTAGCCTCTGAAATGTTCTTCATTCTTAAAGAAAATGGAAAATAACCGGGCCCCTCTGTGGCAAACATAATATAACATCATAAAATACAAAGACCAGCTGACAGCAAGACCAGTACTGGATGGATATATATATATATATATATATATATATATATATATATATATATCCCCAAAGGAATGGAAATCTGTATTGAGACATTGGTTTTCCCATGTTTATTGGCTATTCACAAGAGCCAAAAAAATAAAATCAGCTTAAGTTCTACCAACTGCTGCATGAACAAAGAAAATGTGTCATATATATAATAGAGTATTACTGAGTTAAAGGATGAAATTTTGCCAACATGGATAGACCTAGAGAACATTATGTTAAATGTTAGTTACACAAAGACAGATATACATGACCTCACTCTTCTACAGAAACAGAGAATGAAGCAGTGGTCACCAGAGGCTAACGGGTGCTGTGAACAGAGTTACGGGTGGAAACTCTGATGCTCTGCTGTAGTGAGAGGAGCAGAGAACCACAGTCACCTGGATCTCAAAGAAGCTAGGGTTTGAATGTTCTCACCATATACATACAAAAGATAAATAATGGAGGAGTCGAGAAAGGTCACCCTGATTTGAACGTTACATAATGTATGCACGTCCAATGTATGTACACAGCACAACACCATACAGTACCCCTTAAGTGTGTGTAACTGTGTGCCAACTGAAGTACAAATGGAGGCAGGTGAGATGCTTCAGTGGGTAAAGTGCTGACCTCTAAGTCTGACAAACTAACTCAATCCTCAGAACCCATGCAGTAAAAGGTGGCCTCTGACCTCCACACATGTGAGCCACACGTGCAAACACATAAATAAACACTAAATAAATGAAGCACCTTTTTGTTTGTTTGTTTGTTTTTTGAGATAAGGAGACAGGGTTTCTCTATGTAGCCCTGCATGTCCTGGAACTCCAGGCTGGTTTGAACTCACAGAGATCCGCCTGCCTCTGCCTCCCGAGTGTTGGGATGAAAGGTGTGTGCCACCACTGTCTGGCTAATGAAATACTTTTCAAAAAAAAAAAATAAAGTAGTTGAGTTCGATGTCACATAGCTGTAATTCCAGCTCTTGAGGCAGTAGCAGGAGTTCAAGGCCTGTATTCAGGACAGGAGATCCTGATTCAAAACAAAACTAAGTAAATGATAAAAATAAAAAGCCACTAGAACCAAGGATATTTAGCTCAGAGATGAGATGGCTCACAGGGTAAAAAGTGCTTGTCATGTAAGTCTGAATTTGATCCCCCAGAAACCACAGGGGAAGAAGAGAACCTCAAAGTTGTCCTCTAATCACACACACATCCCCCAAAAGCATGCATGCATACACAGTAACAAATCATTTTTTCCAAGAACCAAGGATTACTTAGATAAGAAATACATAAACAAAATCTCGGTTGTTTTGTCTTTTGTGTTTGAGACAGGATCTCGTGTAGCATAGGATGACCTCAGACTTGCTAACCAGCTAAGCTCTGGGATCACAAGTGTACACTACCATGTCTGGTTTCAGACCTCCCAGGATGAAGCACGCTTGCAATCTCACCATTCAGAAGGCAGAGGCAAACCATTCAGCTTGGACTACTAGTGGATTCCCATCTCAAAACACCCAAAGCAAAGCAAACAGCGAAAAAGATACCATCAGGATTCTAGCTTCAGTACATTAAAAAGATGATAAAAGAGAAAATACAGCCAGGTGGTTAGTGCCACCCGTGAGTCCAGCACTTTGGAAAGGGCAGGATATTTACGAATTCATAACCAGCCAGAGCCACACAGCAATACTGTCTCAAAAAAAAAAAAGGAAAAGAAAGCCATATGATGTATGATAAATTAACATTTAAATTTTTTGAAGGTTACAGTTACTCTGTAACAAAATGACTATTTGGTGACCCATCTTTATCAGTCAATATCAGTGCCCTTTACCATATTCTATAACTATTATTTTGGTAGTTAATCCTCAAACCTAAAAGTTATTATAATTTTATGAATACTTAAATCATACCACTTTATATATTACATATCTAATTTACTTCTTTTCATACTTGTCTCCAAATAGCCAAACCGCTAAACATTAGGTCTAAAGTCCATGAATTTCTAAACTTAACCCATGTTAGGGTCAAAAGATTTACAATTCTAAGTTTACTACCTATTATTGAGCAAACACCTGTTCATATATCAATCTACATAATTACATCAAAGTTTCACTGAAAACTGTTTAATCAAGTAAACTTGAAATTCTTTCTTAAAATTAAATTTACTTTTTTTTTTTTTTTTGGTTTCTCTGTGTAGCCGTGGCTGTCTCAGAGCTTGCTCTGTAGACCAGGCTGGCCTCTAAACTCAATCCACCTGCTGCAGCCGCCTCCCGAGGGCCTGGATTAAAGGCATGCACTACCACCAGCAGGTTAAACTTACAATTCTTATTTCTCAATTTTAATTTAACTCAAGGACAATATAGCTTTCTGATACATCAGAAAACAAAGTGAGTACGCATCTGTGCAAATTAATTTGTACAGGACTAACTTGTGAAAGAAAACCGCTTGGCTTATGAAAAGCAGTGAAGTGCCAAGTAAAAAACAATTCAAACCAAAACATTCAGCACATCTTTAGTTTCGGCAACTTCAGCTTCTGGCTAGAAAAACTGCCCTAGCTAGGACATGAATGGAAGCAGTTTACTGAACTGTAAAATGCTGGCAGATTGGCAGCTGGACTGGATCAGGCTCTAAAGTGAAGCCCAGATATAAACCAAATGCATCTCCTTCCTTCCCACCCTCCCTGCACTAAAACTCTAAAGGGAAGCGTAGATACAACATATGCGTGTCCCCTTTTTTAAAAACTAAAAAACCTCCTGGATATTTTGAGATATCGCTGTCTTCACAGAGGATTCTCAAAGTAGGTCCGACTCCTGTGTGTGTGCTGTGTGTATGTATGTGATGTGTGGGTGCACATATGGGCAGATGAGAATGCATGTGAAGGCAGAGTCTGACACCAGTGGCTTCTTCATTCACGCCCCATTCATGTGCACTGCAGCATGCTCAGCTGAGCCCAATCTGACCTGTCCAGCAGGCCAGCTGCACTGGGGATTCCCTGTCTCTCCCTCCCCCCCACACACAAAAGTGCCAGGATTATGAACTGGTCACCAACGCCCACCTGGCATTTATGTAGGTCCTGGCGATTCAAACTCTAGTCCTCACGCCTGCATGGCAGGGGCTATACTTGCCCGGCCAGCTCACCAGTCCCTAAGCCTCCCTCCTTTTTAGAAGCACCATATTAATAGCGAGCATAGAAGCAGAGCTAGAAAGGGGGCTCATCAGATGGCTGCACAGCAAAGGACTGTATTAACAGTCAGTGTAAACCATTTCCACAGATTTTACATTTTAGATACCGAGAAGTATTCCATTTCTGTCATGGAAAAAGTAGACGGTCTACTAACCAGGTAAAGATGGAAAAGGAAACAAACGATGAAACGCAAAAATCTGTTGTCCTGGCATTAAAAGAACAGCAAAATATTGTTGTGTTGTGTTGACAATACAACTGGTTTGAAACTTCCGCCCATATTTTATCATATTATTTAGTTTTTAATTATGTGGTCCTTTTTTTCTATAGTAACTCTCGGTCAGGCTGAAGATTATTCTAGAACTTCATCTACTACAAGAAGACGTCAAAGCTGTGTACTAACACTGAAACAAACCCACACTGTCCGCTAAGACAGCCTGCGGGGCTGGCTGTGCTAATGCACACCTGGTCCACACAGTGAGACTGGGGGGAGGGGGGAAAGACAGCCTAAGGGTTATATTAAAAAGTAAATCTTTCAAGATCCATTTTGAAGCAAGCAATAATATTTCCTTACAATCAACGTTTCAATTTATTTACCAATGGCTTTGACATGGAAATATTTCAGAAAACAAAATCTCCATGATTCATAACCGTGCAGATTCTAGTAAATGATAATTTGGGATAGTGTTTTTTAAACTATTTGGTAATTCGCTACTGCCTGTTCAATTTATGGCATTCTACAATGACACCTACTGGCCACTAGAAATCAGCCATTAGTTCTCTTAGATAGCTAGAGTAGGCTGGTTACATAAGAGAAACACAGAAACACACACACTTTCTTAAATCAACCCACCTAAAGGCAAAAATTTGTTCACAGGTATGGAAAGCATGAGAGTATTTCACCTAAAGCAAAAATGTTTTCTTTAGGATAAAGGTAACATCATTCTTGTAAGAAGATATGACGAGGAATGAAACACCAGCATCATTTTAAAATTGTATTTAAGACACCAACAAATACCTCAGTTCACTGGACATTTCAAAACAAATCCTAATTACCCATGTCCTTTCAGAAGATATTCTGAGAGAGAAAAAACAAAAATTCTAATTTTATACGTACGAACACAAATGACCAAGAGTAGGAAAAAAAAATCAGATCTTAGAAAGTTGTCCTAACATATGTCCTAACATGTAGTTCAAAAACAAGCCCAGAAAAAGAGACGCTTCCTGATACTACATTAAGCCTCATCTTCTGACTTGAATGCAGCATGTCAAGAGCTTTTCAGCAATTTACAGAGCTGCTTTTACAAATGGATCCCAGTCTTCTCAGAAGAGTTTTCCAATGAGCTATACAAGCAAAAGCCCTTCCACAATACACGCTGAGACGGGAGTTTGTTTTGGTACTGTATTCCACCATTCAGACCGTGAATTTACAACTCACAACTAGTTCTTCAGACTTAACGAAGCAAATCACTCAAAGGGTGGCTCTCCCCTGTTTAAGAGTCCCGTCCTATTTTCACCGCCCTTGGTTAGCATCCATATATAAGGGCAAGTTGTCGACCAACTAACTTACTGATCGTTTTCTAATTTGAGTTTGCCTTCCTCTCTACATGTAGAAGGCTCTCCACTTGGCTGGAGGTTAAACACTCTATCGGTTTCTGAGATGCAAAGCAGCAAATGCGTGTACTACAAAACATTTCGCCCATCTCGAGCTTAACGTCGTGTCGTGTCTCAAGGCAAGTCCTTATTTGGGATAAGCGCTTCGTGACTACTCCAACCTTCACGCTGTCCTCCTCCTCCAGAGCCTGCCTGGGTAGGAAAACACGGAGCTAGCGACAACAAGAAAGTGATCACGTCTATCAACGGCTTCCAAGAGCTCCTCTTCCATGACGCTCGGTCGAGTTGTTCCGGGGGGGAAAATAACTGCCAGGGGTTACATAATGTACCAGCCGCTAGCTCCGACCACCAAGAAACCTCTTCCTCCTCCGCACCCTGACAACAACCCTGAGGATTTCACTCAGGTGTCTGCAAACGCCGCGTCCTTCTCTACCCTGAGCCTTTCTGCAAGAAATCCCTTCAACCCTCACCGCCCGCGCCCTGCTCCCGTCTCCTTCCCACCCACACCCTCAACGCCCTCGCTAGGCCCCCAAGTCGCCCCCACGACACTCACTGAGCCCCAAGCCGCCTCCTCCTCACGACCCTCCCGGGCTGGCTACCGGGTGTGCAGGGCTCGGGATCCGCCGAGAGTCCGGCCGCCGCATCCCCCGCCGCCTCTCGCGACCGCAGCCGGAGGAGACACCTCCTCCCCCGGCACCGTGCGCGTCCCCCACCTACCTGTCACCCCGCAGCAGCCTCGGGCTTCCCACCGCCACCGCCTCCCGCAGCAGCCTGCCAACTGCAGCATAACAACCGGCCCTCTCATTGAGTGGGCCGGCGCGCTCAATAACAGCCGCTCCCATTGGCCGCGCCGCCGCCTCGGCCCGCCCTCCGGTGCGCCGCCTAAAAGAGTCCGCCCGGGAGCAAGGAAAACGCGGTTCCCTCACCCGTCTCCTCAGCGCCCCAGAGCTCGGTCGGATGCCGGCTGCCGAGTGGGGGGAACGGTCTAGATGTCCAGTTTCCCTGACGTTGTCTCTCCCCCGTCTGAGAGTCTTGCGCCGGGGTCGGAACGCTTATCGTCTCCTCCGCTTTCCTGCCGTGGGGGAACTGCAGGGGACAACGTCCGCTTCCGGTTGGCTCCGTCTGGAAGGTTGAATATTGAGTGTCCTGAGAGGTCAGATTGCTGTCAGGTAATTTAGGGAGCTGGTGGGCGACCTCTGGGTTAGGAATCATCCAGACTGGGTCCAGGGGGAGTGCAGAAGTGCTGAGAAGGACCGGGAGGAGGGGAGCGGTGCTGCCAAGTGCCCCCGAGCTGAGCGGAGGCGGATGGAGGATGCCCCGATGGTTATTATAGCGCTTCAGTCCCAGACACCCCGACCTCCACTCCTACCGCTGTCACCCACAATTTCCTCCTCTCCTCCTGGTTTTTTCTGGGTAAAGAACAATCCCCGATCCGAAAATACTTAACCTAGAAAAATTCCAACAGATGCCTCACAAAATCACATCCATTGCATATTCCTAGGGTTAAGGATTGGGTGCTAAAGTAATAGCATTTCATTCGGCTTTTCTTATATTTTTATGGTCATCTCAGTATTTGGATGAGGGAAATTTCAGTTATATACTTGAAAGCCCAGTAAAATTACACCGAGTGGAAGAAGCATCCCGTAGGGAAAGTAAGCCAACACTTCCTGTATTAGAACAAGCCAGGTGGATCATCATCTAACTTCTAAGTTGACTTCTGACATAAGCAGATAGCGTTTCTGTTTTTCATAATTACACGTTCGGTCTTTGTTGAATTTATTTCTTTACTGTCCTTAAATGAGCGGTTCTGCATGGGAAGTGATTTCCACACCATTGAGTGCTCAGTGCAGCGTAACTCACCTTTCCCATGGTGTGAGGAGAGAACCGGTTCCTTTAAGGTGCCCTCTGACCTTTATATAGGTACGCGCACACACAAATAAATGAGGCTTTAAATAAAGATTCCCTTGAAAATAGGAACGAGGCATATGCACAGGTCTGTTCTTGTAGCACTTGGGGGGGGGGGAGAGAAAGAGAGAAGAATTGAGAGTTCAAAGTCATCCCTGAATACATATCAAGTTTGTGGTCAGACTGAGTTAGGTAAGACTATCTCAAGTAAATAAAACAATGTTCTTTTAAGATGGGATGGTGCCTACCCCATTGTAAAGTTATGTGTGCTTCATTCTGAAAAAAAGTCTGATAAAACACATTCCTTGTCATATACATACAGAAATTTCTCTCAAGTTGCAATGTCCAATAGAAATGTAATGGAAGCCATGTATGTAGTATTAAATTTTCTGGTAGACTCTAAAAGTAAGAAAAAAAGTCATCTAATATACTAAATGTAGTCTCATTTAAAGATATACTCTGAAGCCAGCCTTTATTCGTAGCTTTTGGGAGACGGGGCAGCTGAATTTCTGAGTTTAACACCAGCCTGGTCTACAGATCGAGTTCCAGTACAGCCAGGGCTACACAGCAAAACCCTGTCTTAGGGATGGATATATATACACATACACATATCCATATGGACACACACACATATATACACTCTGTATTATTAATGAACTGTTGTACATGTCATACTGTCTTAAAATTTTATGTATGTTAAGTATACAGTATATACATATTATTTACATAAATACAAATACTTGGTCTGTGTTTGTATTTTATAAGGTTGAAAAGTATATTCCTACACCAGATAATTCCAAAGACACTTTAGTATTTTCTTATAAGTGAATTTGCTTTGGTACTTGGTACTTTCCCAGGTGACCTGAGTTTCGTTCCTAGCACCCACGCCAGACAGCTCATGATCACCTATTATTCAGATCTAGGGGATGCAATACCGTCTCTGGCCTCCCTCCCATGCATGCATGTCACACTCTCTCTCTTACACACACACACACACACACAAATAAGGTCTTTTTAAAAAGTTAAAATTCCAGGTTCCTTAGCTGCATAGCCACATTCCAGAGGTTAGTGGCTACGTAAGAGACAGCACAGATCCAGGAGAGGAATTGGTGGCCATAGGTATCCAGATGTCCTTTTTGTTGTTTGTTTACGTTTTGTTTTTCCAGGCTGGCCTGGAACTCAAGAGATTCACCTGCCTCTGCCTCCCGAGTGCAAGGATTGAAGGCGCGTGCCCGCACCCCCAGCAAATGTTCCATTTTCTGAGTCATGACAGTTTTCCCAGAGCAGCTGTGCTCAGTCACAGTCTCACCACTTGGATGTGAGAATGGAAGGCGCACTACAGTGTGTCCTCCGCATTTCCCAATCTTGGAAGGGAGACTTTTAGCCTTGTGATGTGAGGCAATAGAAGTTCAGAAAACTTAAGGGATTTTCTTGTATTTTATAGCCATTAGTGGTTCAAAAAAAAGATGATTTTAAACACTTCCATCAAACATTTGAGATTTTATTGTTTGATTTATGGCTGTTTTGAAATAACAGTAATCCCAACATTTCAGAGGCAGAGGCAGGCAGATAGGTCGCTGGGACTTCAAGGCCAGCGAGCTTTCTGGACAAAAGCCAGAGCTCTCCAGAGAAGCCCCATGTTGAAAAACAGACGACAGAGAAAGAGAGAGAGAGAGACGAGTTATAGCATTGACTTACTGCCTAGAGTCTCATTGTCTTCATCTATAAAAAGTGTTTGGTTTTTATTTTGTTTTGCTTTGGTTGGGTTTGTTTGTTTGTTTTTGTGAGACAGAGTCTCTCTACACAAAGCCCTGACGGTCCTGAAATCACTATAGACAAGGCTGGCCTAGAAGAACTCAGAGGTCTGTTTGCCTCTGCCTTCCAAGTGCTGGGATTAAATTTGTGAGTCACCGGGTCTGGGTGGATGGGGAGAATCTGTATTTTTAATTTAAATTCAAAGTTGTTTTAGAAGCAGTACAGTTACTGCCTACAAAGTCCCATGTGCCAGGCACATGAAGACTACGGAAGTATTACTGTTACCGTATGTAGTGAGTGGGTATCTGAGCCGTAGGGCTACTCGCTGTTTTCAGTTCTATATTGTGTGTATGTATTTCCTAGATATGAGCATACACTGAGTATGTAATAGTATACTTTTTTTTTTTTGGTTGATTTTTCTGGCCTGGAACTATAGTACACCACTTGCCGCTTCCTCCCAAGTAATCCTTGTATATTTTTATAAAGCTCTCTACTCAGAATTTTCACGTACTTATCTTTTTAAAAGCATTTCACTTGATACATCATCATCAACTTTGGTCTCTCTCTCCTTTCTTTTCCTTTCTCGCTGCAGACATGGCTGCTGGGCATGGACATGGACACGAACATGGGCACGGGCATGGCCATGATAAACTGGTACTTCCAGATCACACACAGTGGAAAATAGAAGGGACACCGCTAGAGACAGTGCAGAGGAAGCTGGCTGCCCGGGGGCTGAGGGACCCATGGGCTCGGTAAGATGAGTCTAGGCGTGCCCTTCTTGCTCTGGGTACCGGGACAGGAAGGCTGGCATGCATCTGCCACAGCACACGTGTGTGCCGCTAGATACGACTCAAAGGAGGCCCCTCCTTCCACCCTGTGGGTCCTGGGGAAAATGGCTCTGTTTTTTGTTGTTGTTGTTGTTGTTGTTTGTTTGTTTGTTTGTTTGTTTTCTCTCTGGATTTTGCTGTGTGGCCCTGTCTCTGTCTCCTAGAACTCTGTGGACCAGGCTGGCCTTGAACTCACAGAGATCCACCTTTCTCTGCCCCCGAGTGCAGGGATCACAGGCATGAGCCACCACTGCCCAGCGAAAAATGGTTTCTTAGCTTTAGTTGTGTGCAGTATAATTCACCCATTTTAAAGTTAACTCATTATAATTTTGTTAGTTTTTTTTTTTAAATGGGCCGTTATGGAATCACTACCAAAACCATGATGTAGAATATTTCTGTAAGCCCAGGAAATGTGTGCCTTTGCAGCCACTGCTCTGCTTCCGGCTCTGGTTTCTTCCTTACTAATAATCCTCTCTCTATGTTAGAATCTGAGGGAAGGATGGGTCTTTCATCCCAGCCTTTAACTTAATGTTGTTTTTTGGGACCAGGGGGAGCTGAGTTTTCTCTTTTATTGGTTTTGTATTTTTAAGTACCAAAGGATAAAACCTATTTTAGAAAGCTTGTCTTTTGTAGCCCAGCATAATAATTTTTATACTTGTTTTTTGGTATGGTTGGTGATTGATTCTGTTTTTTTTTTAATTTTTATGATGTATTTATCTTTTATTTTATGTGCATTGGTGTGAAAGTGTCAGATCCCCTGGAACTGGATTTTCAGACAGTTGTGAGCTGCCATGTGGGTGCTGGGAATTGAACCTGGGTCCTCTGGAAGAGCAGTCAGTGCTCTTAACCGCTGAGCCATTTCTCCAGCCCCGATTCTGGGGTTTTTTTGAGACAGAGTTTCTCTGTGTAGCCCTGGCTGTCCTGGAACTGGAACTCTCTCTGTAGACCAGGCTGGCCTCAAACTCAGAGACCCACCTGCCTCTGCCTCCAGGGTGCTGGTACAAAATGTGTTGAGTCACACACTTTTTACCACAGTAGCCATTCAAATTATTTCCAGCTATTGGTTCTTATGAGTCAAGTTGCTGCAGCTATTCACAAGTTTGTCTACACTCATATTTTTATTACTCTTGGGCAAATACCTAAGAGTGGGATTTCTGGATTTTAGGATAAAAATCTATGGGTCTTTTAATAAAAGCTGCCCAACTATTTTCTAAAGTGGTGGTTCTGTTCCCGTCTCTGCCAGCTGTAGATGAGGATCTCAGTTGCTCACTGGTCTCATCAGTACCTAGTGTCTTTAGTGTTTTACATAGCTGCTCGTCTGTACTCTCAGCCTTCGAAAGGCAGAGGCAGGAGGATTGGAATTACAAGACCCTCCTCAGCTATATATCACACTGGAGGCCAGCCTGGGCTACATAAGAGTCAATCCCCAAAAAAAGGTGAAAGAGATGAAGCCCTTGTAGTCCACACGTGAGCAGATGGTGTGGCTCCACTCCCCGGTCCATAAACACGGACGGTTTGTTTGTTATTTTGTGTGGCTGTCTGGTTTTGGGTGCAAAAAAAACAGTCTCCTTAGGTCTTTTGAACTCTTATTATGGGCTGTAGGAATTCTTTATATACTTTGAAAATAAGCCATTCATCATATATAAATTTTGTACATGTTTTCTCAGTATATTTCAGTATATAATGTGTCTTTGCATTTTCTTAATATTTTAAATTTCAATAACTTTCTAATTAAGTTTTTTCTTTTGTCACTATTACTTTTTTCTTTCTTTTTTTCTTTCTTTCTTCTTTTTTTTTTTCTCCTATTTTTGGTTTTTCAAGACAGGGTTTCTCTGTGTAGCCCTGGCTGTCCTGGAACTCTCTCTGTAGACCAGACTGGCCTCAAACTCCCAGAGATATGCCTGCTCTGTCTCCTGAGTGCTAGGATCAAAAGTGTGTCCCACCACCTCCTGGCCCTCATCTAGGATTTTATTCTATATTTTCTAGAAGCTTTTTTTTTTAAATCCTTTTTGAGCAAGTCATGTGTTTAACTCAAGCCAGGCTCATACTTGTGATGCGCCTGCCTTAGCCTCCTAAGTACTGGGTTTGCGAGCACCGTCACACTCAGCTTGTGGTTTTCCTGGATTGAGGTATGATGCTTCACTTTGAGACTTTGAATTCATTGTTTTTTACCAAAAAAAATTATGTTTATGTGTATGGGTGATTTGGCTGCATGTGTGTCTGTGCACCACTTGTATGTTGTTGGTTGTTATTTTATTTTTTGGCTCTATATTCTTTGGGGGGGGCTGCCACCCAGGTCCCAAATAATTAATACACCTGGAGATTTATTATTTCTTATGAATGCTTGTAGTGGGAGGCCAATTGTTTGTTCCCGGCTGCTCAACCCCAAAATAATCACTCAGAAACTGTAAAATCACTGTTTGACCCATTAGCTTTAGCTTATTATTGGCTAACTCTTACATCTTAATTTAACCCATTTCTAATAATCTGTGTATTGCCACGTGGCCATGGCTTATTGGCAAGGTTCAAGCACGTCTGTTCCTGGCAGTGGCTACATGGCATCTCCCTGACTCTGCCTTCTTCCTCCCAGCATTCAGTTTAGTTTTCCCCACCTATCTCTATTCTACCCTGCACAGGCCCAAGACAGTTCCTTTATTAACCAGTAGTGTTCACAACATTCAGAGGGGAAGCCCACATCAAATGCCTGACCTTAGCTTGGCTTATTTCTAGCCAGCTTTCCGTAACTTAAATTATCCCGTCTACCTTTTGACTCTGGGCTTTTTCCTTTTCTTTCTTCAATGTCTTACTTTCACTCTTCCTCAGTGGCTGGCTGTGTGGCCAGGATCCTAGCATCCTCCTCTCTTTGTTCTTTCACCTCCTTCTGATTTCTCCTCCTGCTTATTCTCTCTCCCTGCCAGCCCCACCTATCCCTCTCCTGCCTCGCAAGTCAGCTCTTTATTAGACCATCAGATGTTTTAGACAGGCAAAGTAACACAGCCTCACAGAATTAAACAAATGCATCATGGAAGAATGCAACACATCTTTGCATCATTAAAACAAATGTTTCTCGGCATAAACAAATGTAATACATCATAAAATAATATTTCACAGCACGTGTGTCTGGTGCCTGCAGAGATCAGAAGAGGGTATTAGATGCTCTGAAACTGGAGTTACAAATTCCTTGTGGGCCATGTGAATCCAGCCTGGGTCCTCCTGAAGTGCAGCCCGTGCTCCTCACTAATGAGCTGTCTCTCCAGCACCAAGAGTCTTTGTTTCATCTGAAGAAAGAAGGAGGGAAATATTGTCTGTGGCGAGCCAGTTGGTTCATGACCATTTATTAAAAGATTATTCCCAGTTGAATTACTTTGATAAATATATCAAAAATCGATAGACCATATCTTTGAGGTCTATTTCTGGACTCTGTCTTGTTTCTCTATTCAGTATGTCTGCATTTAGGTCCAATACCACAAACTTTAATAGGATGGTGTAAGATCTCCAATTACCTTTCCTTGGTTTAGCTATTCTGGGTCTTTTTTTTTCTTTTTTTTGTCTATAAATTTTAGTATGTGTTCATCAGTTTCTACAAATGGCCGGCTTGTATTTTAGTTGGGATCTTACTATTTCATAAATTTTACAGTGTGAATCTTTTCCATGTTTCTATTGGACTCACATTAGTCTTGAGATAATTTATGCCTTTATAGTGATGAATCTTTTAGAAAACATGCGATTTATGACTTTTTGAATTTTCAAGCGTTATTTCCTTACTTTTTATACATATCCTGAACATTTTGTTGAATTTATTTGTATTTCTGGTACTATCGTAGGTGGTACTTTAAATCTCTATTTGTAGGTGTGTTGTTGACTATTAAGATTGTAATTAATTTTCACATACTGACTTTTTATATCCCGTTTATTAATTAACTAAATTTTTGCCCTAATAAACTTCTTTTTCTTTCTTTCTTTTTTGTTTTGTTTTTTTGTTTGTTTGTTTGTTTGTTTTTTGAGACAGGGTTTCTCTGTAGCTTTGGTGCCTGTCCTGACCTAGTAAACTTTTTTTTTATGTTCTTTAAATTTTTTTTTAATAATGACCATTTTGTCTACAGAGACAACATCACTTTGTCTTTCTCAGACTGTAAGCTTCCCTTTATTATGTGATTGCAATAAGTAACATGGAAAAGAAACCAAAGAATTTTAACTTCTTTTGTTTTTTGTTTTGTTTTGTTTTTTCCTGGAGGTTTTGCAGCAGAGTCTCACTAAGCCCCTCAGGCTGATCAACAGTTGTCGGGTCTTTCAGCCTCTGAGCGCTGGGGCCGGAGGTCTGTGCCGCCACGTCAGCTTCTCCTTCCTGCTTTAAAGTCAGTCGCCCCACTGTGTCCCCGCCTGTTCTTGCTCCTGGTTCAGCCGGCGCTCTGACCTCAGCCTCTTCCTTGGCTGGACTGGAAAGATTGCAGCACATCCCTCTCCTGAGAGCAGCTCTTTTCTGTTCATGTGCTGAGTTACCTGTGCAAACTTCCAGATACTAAACCAATGCTGCTCTTCTGGTGATAAATTATTTTTGTTTTGTACATTATTGGTTTTAATCTTGTAAGATTTTGTTCAGAACATGTAACAAACCTTTGTGGTGATGCAGCCTTTAATCCCAGCACTCAGGCAGGTGGATATCTGCGAGTTCCAGGCCAGCCTGATCTAGATCTTGAGTTCCACAGCCAGAGCTACTTCTAACATCTTTTTGTAGTTTTGGCATCTAAACTAGTTTGATTTGTTTCCATATTTTCTAGTGAGGCAGATTTTTTTTTGTTATTTTTTTTTGTCCTCTATAAGGTGATTTTCGCCCCCACTAATGTAGATCATCTATACAAGAAGACATTTCTTCCTGTAGCTCTCGGCTTTCTGTTCTCCTTTTTGTTCCGTGTAGTCAGAGCAACCAGAGCAGGAGCTCAGTCTGCTGAAGCTCAGGCTGCAAGACAGGGAACGGCTGTGAGCCCTTGAGTAGTAATAATGCCAGCTGTGCATCCTTCTGTGCCAGAACAGATTAGACATCAGCATGCTTAATATTTATGATAATAATGTTGGGTAGGTAGTAGTCAACTTTGAACAGAAGGTCAACTTCATTTCTATGTGAAACTTGGTCATATATTCTTAATTATACTCTGCCCAGAAATATCTCTGCTGTGACTTTCAATGTTAAGTCGTCTAGCTTTGGACCAGGTGTGGTGGTGCATGGCTGGAGCAGCTCGGGAGACTGAAGCAGCATTGCCACAAATTGGAGGCCAGCTTGGCCTTTGTAGAGAGATCCTGTTTCAAAAACAAAGAAAGAAAACAATGCCAGGCACAGTGCCTCATGCCTTTATTCCCAGGACTTGGGACATAGAGGCAGGGAGATCACTGTGGAGCCAGCCTGGCCTACAGAGTTCCAAGAAGCCAGGGCTACATAATGAGACTATGTCTCAAAAAAAAAAAAAAAAAAAAAAAAAAAAAAAAAGATACTAATGTAGCATTTCAGTATTTAAGAAAGAAGAAAATCCAATGTATTTGGCTCAGTGAATTGCATGTGATTATCATTTTTCTCCTCTTTTCCAGCAATGAGGCTTGGCGATATATGGGTGGCTTCGCAGAGAACATCTCCTTCATGAGTGTGCTGTTCAAAGGGTTCAAGTGGGGTTTTGCTGCATTTGCGGTCGCGGTAGGGGCTGAGTATTTCCTGGCCTCCCAGAACGGTGATAAGAAACATCACTGAAGGCAGCGCCTGGGATTGTCTCCTGACTCCTCGCTCATAAAAATAAGATTTCCTCTCTCTAGCATCCTTGGCTGAATGTTTGTCCTTGAAAGAATGGCTTAATAAAATAAAGAAAAACTTTGTTTTGTCGTGTAACTCTTAAATAAAATTGGAAAGAAAAATTTAAAGTATGTACCTGTAATTCCAACTCTTGGAAAGCTGAAATGGGAGGATCATGAATTCAAAGTCAGCTTAAGCTAAATAGTGAGGCTGTCGCAATAAATAAATAAATAAATAAGATAAATATGCATGTGTGTGTGTGGATGTGTGGATTGGATTTTGTTTGGAATGGTGGGTGTTGGGGGTACCAGCAGCAGTGCGTTCTGCATGCAGCAGGCAGCCACCTAATTCAACAAATGTGTTCTGAGACCTACTGAATCCAGTTTAGCCTGTGTGTCCGTGGGTGTGGAGCTGTCCATTGGGCTTAGACAACTTAACAGCAGCACAGAACTCCCCGACACCACTAATAACTGGGACCGACTCTCCCCAAGTAAACCATCAGTTGCCAATGCTTTCTTGGCTATGGTTAGAGCCTCCTGGGCGCCTCCACTATCCATTCTGTTATCGTAATCACAGTGCAACACCGTATCGCATTCAAAGACAGCACTTCACCTCTCTTTCCTATCCTGTTCCTGCATTCTTTCTGTCCCCTCTCTATGATGTTCCCTGAGTTGTCTGTCTGTCTGTCTGTCTGTCTGTCTGTGGAGTGTTTGAAAGAGATGTCCCATTTAGGACTAGCACCCAACAGTTAACTTATCCTCAGCATTTGGACCAATTAGTCGTCATTATATTAATTGCTCCCGGCCCCCAAAGCTGACCAAGGTGTTTAAAAGGCAGTTTGACAAAGTGACCAATCAGCCAAACAATGGCAGCAAGTTCTCTGCTGGAACCTATGACCTGAGCCATGGACATGACCAGACTTACAGCACCAAACCTGAATTCCCTCCTGTGGTGCAGGCCTCAAATTCAAACCAAGCAGTTGGGTGACAGCTATGCCCCTTTTACACCAATGGCCATATCTTGTTGACCCGTCCATATAGCATGTAAGGTTCAGTGCTGGGTAACACCACTGCCTTTTCTCCTTCAGATATCTGCCTCCAGGTTTTTAAATCAGAGTTGGTCTTGCTGTTTAGAGGGACATACCACCGAATAGTATGGTTTTTTCTGGTTGATGTATGCCTCATCTTCGTTTTTCTTTATTAATCCTATTTTCTTCTCTTAATCCTCCTCACCGTTGGCCATGTTGAGAAAAACCTTGACATGCTTTAATAAATTGGGCATTTTTCCTCATGTTAAGTCTTTAACATTAAGTCACTAGTTAAGATGGGGCTGGAGAGAGCCGGGTGATGGTGGTGCATGTCTTTAATCCCAGCATTCAGGAGGCAGAGGCAGGCGGATCCCTGAGTTCTATCTACAGAGTGAGTGCCAGGATAGTTGGGGTTACATGGAGCTGCACAGAGAAACCCTGTCTTGAAAAACAAAAAGAAAGAAAGAAAGAAAAAAAAAAAGAAAAACCTGATGAGATGGCCCAGCAGTTAAAATTTTTGCTCTTCAGAGGACCTGGGTTTGAGTCCCGGCACCCCATGGTTGCTCACAACCTGTGACTCCAGTCCCAGGAGGTTCGACACCCTATGCTGGCCTCTCTGGGCTCCAGGCCTGCACAGGGTCCACAGACATACATGTCAGCAAAGCACCTACACATTAAAAAAAAATTTAAAAAAAAAAAGAATTTAGGGGACTGGAGAGGTAGCTCAGCAGTTAAGAGCACTGGCTGTTCTTCAAGACCCAGGTTTAATTCCCAGCACCCACATGGCAGCTCACAACTGTAACTCCAGTTCCAGGGAATCTGATGCCCTCACAGACATACATGCACACAAAAACACCAATGCACATAAAAAATAAATAAATGGTTGAAGAAAGAAATCACAGTTAATTGCTAGCTCGGTTTGTTGGTGAGCACTGTCTTTCTTGTTTATAGTAGTTGGATTCTTGCACTGGGGTATGGGGAATTCATTCACTCTGGCCTTTTCTTAATAAGGAACTAAATTCATTCACGATGGCTCTGACCTCATCATCTACCTCTACCTCTAAATACTGAATGAAAAAAAGAATAGAAGAGATATGATTGGTCCCAGGTTTTGGCACCAGATGAATGAAAAAAATAAAGAGAGAGACCAGAGTGGACATGACCAGATGTCTTTGCTTCTGGCTGTTCTCTCCCATTTTCTCAGGGTTTGAGACTTAACAAATACCACCACAGTGGAATTAAGTGACAACATATTTTAGGGGAGCACAAACAACCCACTGCATGTTGATTACAATAACTAACAGCAATGATTACTTTCAAGAAACCAGCTGTCATCTTTGAAGACCTGTGGAGACCCGGAAATAGGAGCCTATTTCCACGTTGACCAAAGGTCAGAGAGTTGGAACTTACCTCTAGTTCCTTCAAGGTTATTGTGCTTCTTCCCCCAAACAAAGGTCCCACCTAGGCGGAGGTCTGAGGTCAGAGAGATCTGCTCTCAAGGTTATTGTCGACAGGTGTGGCTAATAACCAGCCCTTGAGCTGTAGGAATAGAGAAATAGATTGTTCCTACTTTAAACAAAAGTCCAACTAAGTTCCAGTTCCCTTTGTGGAGATAACTTGGGATTCCACCCAGGGAGTGGTTTGCCTACAGAATGTTTTGGTCTAACATATGAGCATGTTTTGTTCTAGCAACAGAATGTTTAATTATGAATGAACCACAACTTACAACTGGTCTGTCCATTTCCTTATATCATGTTAATATGTCTTTTGTCTTACTCTTACCTTTTGGGGTCAGGGGTATTTTAAGCAGTTGGAAATTAAGCGCAGGTAAATTTCAGTACTCACTGGACCTCCCTCCCGATACTTTCCTACATGTTTTCCCGTTTTATTATTTTCATTCGCGTCTTTATATTCTTTACTATATTTCTAAATCCCCATGCCTCTACCCTGATGAGAGGTATTTTTGTTGAGGCTGGTCCCTGACAATGCCCTTGTCTCTGTAATGTTTGAGTTTGACTTGACGGCCAGCAAGGCCCCAGGATCTGGTCTGTTCCTGGCCTTCCTTAACCATCTTTCCAAGAACATAGATTGGATTTACTTAAGAAAATACATTTATTGATTTAATATTCTAATTATCAATATAGTCTGCTAAGATTGATTGATTTTGATAATTGTATCCTTGAGAAAAGGCAATTACAACACAAGAAATATAAATTTGCATTCTATTGTCTGAATGTTAATGAATCATTTTACATGATGAATATGTCACAATTTGAGATTAAGTAATGAAATGCTATTTTACTTAATGAAAATGTATAATGTCTAAGCATTAGACAATACAAATATATCAAAACGTATTGCACCCATAAATTTGTATAATGTTGATGTTTTTATCACTTAAATTTATAATTTAATTTAAAAGTTACATTATAAGGAAAAATACAGTGTAGAGAAACAAACACTGGGGTCCCTAGAACTAAGACGATTAACTCGTTAGTAATTACATTGAGAGTATGTGGTCCAAAATTAGTTAAGACACTATGTAGTCCAGGCTAGCCTCAGACACCCAAAGATTTACCTGCTTCTGTCTCTCCTGTGCTGGAATTGGTTCAAAGTTTAAAACATGCCAATTATGCTCAATAGATAAATTTTGAGCCAGGTGGTGGTCTTAATCCCAGCATTTGGGAGGCAGAGGCAGGTGGACCTCTGTGAGTTTGAGGCCAGCCTGCTCTACAAAGTGAGTTCCAGGACAGTCAGGACTGTTTCATAGAGAAACCCTGTCTCAGAAAACAAACAAACAAACAAACAAATAAATAAATAAATAAAAAGATAAATTTTGGCCTGGGCGATGACTCAGTCGGTGAAGGACTTGCTGTGCAATCATGAGGGCCTGAGTTTGGATCTAGCACCCAAGAGAAAACAGGCACAGTGGTGCGTGTTTGTTACCCCGGTGCTGGGGGATGGGATGGATCCTGGGGCCTTGCTGACCAGCCAATCAAGTAAGCTCCAGGTTCCATAAGAGACCCTGTCTCAAAAACTACATAAATAAGGTAGAACAATAGTGGAAGGCACCCAACACTGACCTCCGCGTGTGCATGTATGGGTACATGCGTGACCACACACACGTGCATACACAAGACAAGTAGACCTGAGCACAGGGCCGTGTGCCTGTAGGTCTAGCTACATGAGAGGCAGAAGCAGGAAGATAGCAGGTTGGAAGCCAGCCTGGGTAACGCAACGAGACCCTGCCTTAAAACATACTAGTCCCTCTCTGACCTAAAATATCTACACAGAGCCTCGAAAAAGCTGAAGCAAACAGAGCTCAAGGGGAGAGAGCCGTAGCTGCAGCTCGCAACGCTCCGTTTCCAGTAATTGATAGGACGAGTAGGAAACGAGGCTGCAGAAGTCTTGAGCAACGCTACTGCCCAGCTTGATGCAATATTTATAGAACGCTGGAACAAAGCAGAACACATTCCCAGAGTATGAGGGACATTTACCATAACTGGTTAGATTTCAGGCTCCGTAAAGTTAAGATGACTGGAATCGTACACGCAGCTCCGCAAAAACCAACGAAAAGCCACAACTGAAATCACACAACATATACTTTCACACGACATAGGCATTAGACGAATCATTAACCTCTGAAAATCGCTCATTATTTGGCAGCACAGTTATAATAATAAATGGCTCACCAAAAGGAGCAGTTTTAGGTAGCGCCTTTGGTGCTGTGTCAGAACACTGCCCAAAGCAACGTGGGCAGGAAAGGGTTTGTTTTATCTTATAGTTCCAGATAACTGTTCGTCAGTGGAGGAAATCAGGTCAGGAACTCAAGGGAGGAACCGGGAGGCAGAAAGTGAAGCAGAGGCCACGGAGAGACGTGGGTTGCTGGCTTGCCCCCTACAGGTTGCTCAACTGGCTTTCTTATACAGCCAAGGACCACCAGCCCAGGGTGGCATCGCCCACAGGGAATGGACCCTCCCCCGTCAATCAACCAAGAAAATGCAACAAGGTTCACCTAAAGGCCAATCTGGTGGAGGTGATTCTTTAACTGAGGTTCCCTCTTCTCAAACGATTCTAGTTTGGGTCAGGTTGACCAATCTAACCAGCACGGACTCTAGGGAAGGTAAAAAATAGCAGAAGAGAGGGCAGGAGAGATGGCTCAGCGGTTAAGAGCACTGATTGCTCTTCCAGAGGACCAAGGTTCAATTCACAGCACCCACATGGCAGCTCACAACTGTCTGAAAATTCAGTTCAAGGGGATCTGACACCTTCACACCAGTACACATAAAATAAAGTTAAATAAATTATTAAAAAAAATAGCAGAACCATAGGTGAGATTAATGTTTAGGGGTGAGCAGGAGGGGAAGACAGGGAGAGAGAAAGAGAAAGAAAGAGAGAGAGAGAGAGAATGTCATCGAAATCCCAGAGAATTAAAACAACATTTTATAAACACATCTCTAAAACAAATTTGGTAGCTCTGGTGAAACTGACTCTGCTTTCTTTGTTCGTTTGTTTTCTTATGCTTAAGGGTCTTGTACTTTCGGCTGTCTTCCTGCCCCTGCCTCCTGAGTACTGGGATCACAGGAGGACGCCCCCACACCCCGAAATACTATCATTTTGTAAGACAGATCGCCAGGCTGGGGGTGGGGGCGTAGCCGGGTCCATGCGCAGTCCCCTAAATCTAATCCTCAGTGTCACTAAAAACCAAAGATGCAGATGTTCACGCAAGCAGACAACCCGAATGACTTTGCATCTATTAAAAATATTTGCATTTTGGGGGAATTGCACATTTGCTGGTTGGGTTAGGTTTAGGTAGAGGAAAATGAAGCGAGTGTTTTGGCGTATTGAAAGGAAGAATGATGGCATTTTTGTCTTTTTTGTTTTGCTTTTCGAGACAGGGCATTTTTTTTTTTTTGGTCATTTTTATAACTTCTTTTCGATCTGCCGTAATTTTTGCTGAGAGTAAAGAATGAAACTTTCCTCCTGTTTCCCGAATTTGGAAATCATTACTTGAATCCCCTAGCGCCTACAAAACATTGCATTGTTGTCTCGTGCGTGGCCATTATTTAAACTAGTGTGCATTACATGTGGGTTTTGTTTCTCAAACAGGACCAAAAAGCGTTCAAATGATGCTAATTACACGAGCATGAATAAGCACCTCATGAATAAGCACCGCATATGATATAACATGTAGTGGTGTTATTAGACGTACTTTGTATGTGGGGCAAGTCCACAGAATGAAAGTAACAAACCCCAGAATGATTTGGCTAAAAAGTTTGAAGTTTAGATTTTGAATACAGGTCTAATTTGCGAGCCCATAGAAACAATGTGTTACCTTGTCTATCACAGTATACAGGACAAGCAAAACCATGCACTGTGGAAGGAGAAAAGTTTTAAGCTTCTAATTATACTTATCTTCATGTTTATTGCTGATGAATTAAATCTGGCTGATTTTCTTTACAGCACTGGGGACTGAGCCCATTGCCTCATATTCTCTCTCTCTCTCTCTCTCTCTCTCTCTCTCTCTCTCTCTCTCTCTTATTTAAAGTAGTGCCTCAACGGTTGCCCAGACTGGCCCTGAACTCCTGTCATCTGGGCTGGCGGTGTGTTCCTCTGCCACAGTTTCCCAAATACCTGGTATTACAACCCTGTGCCACCAGACCAGGATTAATAAATAATCTCAAAATGAGGTATTTGCTCACAAGCTGGATATGGAGAGCTTCCATAGAATTTAGGAAGAGGCTTCTTGAGGGAGAGGTGTCCTGAGCACCAAAGGAGAGTACAAAGGTCATTCAGAAAACTGCCACAGGCTGCACTTGGTGCGTGCTAGGTTTGTGGAATTTATAATCCACAGATTTGAAATAACTCACCTCCATTAGGGACCTGAGCAGCTTCAAGAGAGTTTCACAAAGAACCCAGTGACCGAAGCCAATACCCATGACTCAAGGACAAGCAAACAAGGATAGCACAGTCATAGACTCTGCCCGCAGCGTTGCCTGTGTGACCTCACCACGGGAAAGCCATCTCCTCCCCTCCAAGGTACCAAGAAGACAGAAATATGGACTTGGACCAGGTGTCAGTGCAGGGAACCTTGCCCCAGGAGTGGACTGGTTTGGTAACTTAGCTCACAGAATCAGCATGATTAGAACGACCTTAAACAAGACGCTTTACCTGTGTCTTGCCTTCTGTTTCTACATGTGTGTGTTTTCCTGTATGTTTATTAACATACAAAATATGAACTCATTTAAAGATTGCTTTAGACTCCATTAGAATGAATTAGCTTTGCTGCATATCAGCAATGGTAAACAGGGCCTTAATATTACTAATAAAAGAAATCCCCACATTTCAAGATCTGTGTGCCTTTCTGTTTAATCTCTCTCACATGCAACGAAATGAAGTAATTCTTTTGAAATATCCCACAAGTTACAAAACAAACTGGAAAGAATTTTAGCTGTTACTAAAGACTTACGTTTCTGGGAATGTGCATTGCGAAATAAGAACATGATGTGTACTTACCATGGGAACTGGGTCATTTGAAATATCCTATTTTATCATGTTTTACTTTAAAACTGAAGGAAGAACAGGTGGTGGTGGTGCACACCTTTAATCCCAGCACTCGAGAGGCAGAGGCAGGAGGATCTCTGTGAGTCTGAGACCAGCCTGGTCTACAGAGTGAGTTCCAGCACATCCAGGGTACACAGAGAAATTATGTCTAGAAAGGAATACTGTGCTCTTATAAGTGATACTGTTTGTAAATTATTAATTTGCAACACTGTGTAAAGAAAGGGGTTTGATACTCTTTGTAAGTGTGTCACCTACTTTATCTTTAATTACACAGTTGCAACTGAATTTGGAAAAAGAAAAGTATCTGATGCTTTCTGATGACTATATGATTCAAGTCCTATTATGAAACATATAATACATATTTTAATTTCACATATTATCTTTTTTCAAAATTTCCATGTCAAAGACTAACCCATTCATGGACATAATCCTGAAGGCCAACTCCAGTAACTATAGCAACAACGGGCCTAAAAATAAAGTGCTTCTTTCAGTAGAGATGAAGCCACCCCGCTAAGCAAGGGTCAAGGTTACAGGCTGTGGAATCATCTGGACCTGAGACCCCCATGCGATAGTCTCCAACACTACAGCACGAGATCTGATAAGGACGGACAGGCTTAAGACTGGACACTATAATCAGACAAGACATGATTAGAGACTAAAATGTAACCTGTAAACACTTCATAATTTTCTTTTCTTTTCCTTTTTTTGGTTTTTTGAGACAGGGTTTCTCTGTAGCTTTGGAGTCTGTCCTGGAACTAGCTCTTGTAGACCAGGCTGGCCTCAAACTCACAGAGATCCACCTGCCTCTGCCTCCCGGGTGCTGGGATTAAAGGTGTGCGCCACCACATGGCTAGGAAGCATTTTTTTCAGTCCAATGGGAAGAACATTACAACTGAGCCAGGTCTACACATTGACATGTGACATAACTCCCCCTGATCATTAATGCTGAAAATACCCGTCATTGTGGGTCTAGAACACTTTATGCTAACTTCAGCCAATGACTCCATTCGCAGCAATTGCTTGTCATAAAAATTTCTTTTTTAACATTCTGGTCTTTGTTGTAGGTGGTAGTAATAGTAATAATAGTAGTGTGTGTGTGTGTGTGTGTGCATGCATGCGTGTGTGCGTGCGCATGTGCGTTTTATACCCATTTACCTCTCTGTGTCTCTGTCTGTCTTCTCTGTCTCTGTGTGTGTGCATGTGCCTGTGAGTGTGTGCGTGTGTGTGCATGCGTGCGTGTATGAGACAGAATTGTGTGGAGCTTATTTTTGAGGGTTGTTTCTCTCAGAAGTCCTGGAAAGGGGGCTCAGGTTGCCAGGATTTGTAGGAAACACCTCTAACTACTGAGTTATCTTGTCAGCCCTGTTGATTTTTGAGTTGACAAAGTTATCCGAGACAGCAGCAAATAACGATGTGCCCAACTTCTTCCCACACCAGAATCAAGGAGATGCCCTGGAATTACAGCGGAAACAGAAGCTAACATCTCAGCACTACTTCCTTGAACTTTGTTCATTCATCCCACAAGGGCTTATTGAGCCCCTCACTCGTGCTAGCATTATTCATTGCACTTGGAATACATCAATGAGCAAAGCTGTTTTCTCGTCTCTGGATATTTGCATTTCTCTCTCTCTCTCTCTCTCTCTCTCTCTCTCTCTCTCTCTCTCTCT